TCTTTGTTTCTATTTCATTAATTTCTGCTCTGACTTTTATTTCTTCTGCTGGGTTTGGGTTTCATTTGTTCTCGCCTTTCCAGCAGCTTGAGTTGCAGTGTTAGGTCATTTATTTGGGCTCGTTCTAATTTTTTAATGTGGGCACTTAGAGCTATAAACTTCCCTCTTAGGATTGCTTTTAAAGTGTCCCAGAGGTTGTGTTGTGTTGTGCTGTGTTGTCCTTTTCATTGAATTCCAAGGATTCTTTTATTTCTTTCTTAATTTCTTCTTTGGACCACTCATTGTTTAGCAGTGTGTTGTTCAATCACCATAAGTTCATGTAGTGACTAGGGCTTTGTCCAGTGTTGATTTTGAGCTTTATTGCATTGTCGTCTGATACAATGCATGGGATTATTTCAATTTTTTTATTTGTTGAGGTTTGTTTTGTGGCCCAGTATGTGATCTGTTTTTGAAAAAGTTCCATGGGGTGCTGAGTAGAAAGTGTATTCTTTGGTGCTTGGGTGGAATATTCAGAAGATGTGTGTTAGGTCCATTTGATGTGTGGCATCATTTAATTCAGATGTCTCTCTGTTTACTCTTTGTCCAGTTGACCTGTCTAATGGAGACAGTGGGGTATTGCAGTCCCCTACTATTATTGAGTTGGGGTTAATCTGTGTCTTAAAGTCCTGTAGTGTTGTTTTTATGAATTTGGGTGCACCATAGTTTAGTGCATGTATGTTAAGGATTGAGTATCTTCTTGGTTAACTGTTATTTTGATCAGAATAAAGTTACTCTCCTTATCTCTTCTGATTAGTTTTACTTCGAAGTCTATTTTTTTAGATATTAGAATTGCAACCCCTGCTTGTTTCTTAGTGCCATTTGCTTGGAATATTCTTTTCCATCCTTTTACCTTATGGTAGTGCCTGTCCTTTAAGGTGAGATGGGTTTTTCGGAGTCAGCAAAGTGATGGATTTTGTTTCTTAATCCATTCACCCAGCCTGTGTCTTTTGACTTGGGAGTTCAGTCAATTCATATTTAAGGTTATTATTGAAAGATGTGCATTGGTTGAAGTCATTTTGACTGCTGTTTGTGTTCTCTAATTTTGTGTTTCCTCAATTATACTTTTACTTATTTTCTTTCATTTCCCCTGTGGTATAGTTGTTTCTCTCTCTGCTCTCGGTATTGTATCAAGTATTCTTTGAAGGGCTGGTTTTGTGGACATGTATTCTTTCAGGCTTTTCATTTCATGGAAGAGTTTTCTTCCCCCCCCCACCCCATCTATAATAGACATTTTTGCTGAAGTATTCGGGCTGGCATCTATTGTCATGTAGAAGTGGAAATACCTTGGTCCAGGCTCTTCTGACTTTCATAGTTTGCATATGGACATGTATTCTTTCAGGCTATTCGTGCCATGGAAGATTTTTCTTTCCCCCTCAACTATAATAGACGTTTTTTCTGGGTAAAGTATTCTGGGCTGGCATCGATTGTCATGTACAACTCGAAATACCTTGGTCCAGGCTCTTCTGGCTTTCATAGTTTGCATTGATTAGTCATCTGTAATTCTGATGGGCTTTCCTTTGTCTGTGACTTGTTGTTTTTCTTTTGCTGCTTTCAGTATTCTCTCTTTGTTCTGTACATTTAGTGATTTTACTATCATACATCGTGGGGAGTTTCTTTTCTGATCCTGTGTATTTGGTGTCCTATGTGCTTTCTGTATTTGAATGGGAATGTCTTTCCTTAATTTTAGGAAATTCTCTTCTACAATCCTGTGTAAGATCTGGTCAACACCATTAACCTGAAATTCTTCTCCTTCCTCTATTCCTATGATGTGTAGATTTGGTCTTTCCATGGTGTCTCACTGGCACCAGAGTTCTCTCTGGGTCTCTTGTGCTATCAGGCAAACCATATAATATATCTTTATGTGCATTTATTATTATTGTGGGGAAGGAAGGGAGGAGTGGCACACGCCTTTAATCACAGCACTTGGGAGGCAGAGGCAGGTGGATCTTTGTGAGTTCAAGGCCAGCCTATTCTACAATGAGTTCCAGGATAGCAGGGGCTACAGGGACACCCTGTCTCGAAAAAAAAAAAAAAGCAAAGAAACGAACACCCAGTGCCTAGCTCTAGCTCTGTGCCACTCAGCTCTGTGCTGCACTGTTCTGTGCTGTGGCTCAGAGCCCACCATATCAGATTGCTCCCATGGCATGCCCATAGTCACTGCTAGCTTTCACCCATGTCTCAGGAGCCAGCGGTCTCACCCCAGGTCCATAAGTGCCAGGCCATTCTGACCTTGAGTACACCCAGCTGCCACGCGTTCCCCACTCCTGCCCGCCAGGCATGTTCCTCGCCATTCCTGGTGGCTCATGGCTCCAGTCCCAAGATGGCACCACAAGCCCCTTCTCTCATGGCTAACTCTCCACAATCAATTCTCCGCAGCAGGCCCCGCCCTTTGAAGGAACCAGAAACTCTCAGGAACACCCACATCTCTTGCATATTCCATTCCTATGTTTTTGTTTTTGTTTTTAATTTTACATAATCTTTTCTTGAGTGGTCTAGTTCATGCACTTTATCTTCCAGTCTTGATATTCTGTTTTCCATTTCATTCATCCTATTGGTGAGTCTTTCTCCTGTTGTTTCTAATTGGTTTATTGAGTGTTTCACTTCCTTCTTAATTTCAGCCTGAGTTTTCTTCAATATTTTCAACTCTTTTGTGAATTCAGCCAAAAGTTTATCCCTACCTTCTTTTAGTTCTTTGATTTGTTTGTGCTTTCTTTAAATTCACTGAATTCTTTGATCATGTTTATGATTGTTCTTTTAAATTCAGTGTCCTAGATTATCTTTGGGGGTTCTTCTTGTAGAACTCTTCTACAGGATTGGTGGAGTTTGGTGAGGTCATAGTGTTTTGGCTTTCATAAAGCTGGTTGGTACAGGGTTCAGGTTCTCTCAGGTTTAATTTGGAGGGATCTGATGGCTTCAGATCAGCTGTTCAGGAGTACCCACAGAAGCCAAATTCAGGTTCCAGTCAGGTTCACTAAGGCTTCCTTCACCATGTGGAGGCAGGATCTGGGTACTCTCAGGCAATCCACCCTCTCAGGTTATCTGCTAGGATATCAGCCTTTGGTACCAAAGCCAGATCTGCCCTGGGGCCTTGGGAGGGGCTTCATGAAATCCCAGGTAGGGGGTTGGGTATGGCCCAATTAGGGGAAGCTCACCACCACAAAGAGGCAGAATCCAGGGACTCTCAGGCAGTCCCCTGTGTTCTCAGGCCCTCTGCAAGAGGGAGGCCAGAGGGAGGCCAGAGGGAGGCCAGAACTTGGCACTCTCTGGTAGCCTGCTGAGATCAGAGCCACCACACTGATGGAGGTTGAAACCCACCCTCTCAGGCTGTCTGCCAAGATCTCAGCCTACCAAACCAATATCTGCACTGTGGGCCATGGGAGGAGCCTCACAAGCTTCAGGGGAAGTTTGCCAACATGTGGAGCAGTATCCAGGAGCTCTCTGGCAGTCCCTTGCATTCTCAGACCCTCTGTCAGAAAGAGTCCAGTGGGAGGCCAGAACTCAGCATTCTCTGGTTGTCTGCTGAGATCGGACCTGCTACACCAATGGAGGTCTGGAGGTCAGATTCTTGCTGTCTTATTTAAAGAATTAAAATAAAATCTTGCACATATTTGCAAAAGTATCAAGGTAACTTTATTCAAAGCAAAGTTATAAAAGAGTTCAGAGACTCTCAGGAATGTCCATGAATATTCTTGGGGGTCTTCCTTTTATGTGGTTTGAAAAGAAGGATTATTCATTATAAGTCATAGTTTACAAGGTCCAGTATCTTGATTGATAAATTAAGTTATATAGTCTCTTTCCTACTGTGCATGTACCTTCCCATAATGCACTGGATTTTATTCATATGTATGCCCAGTTATACATATGTATAAGATGGCAAATAAGGAATTCTTCCTGTCCTAGTTTGCCTGGTTTGCTTTCTATTTTTGTGATGAAGCACTATGACCCAAACCAATTTGGGCATGAAAGGATTTATTTATTAAGTTTATATGTCCAGATCATTGTTCATCCTTGAGAGAAGAGAGGGGGAAGACAGAAACCTGGAGGCAGGAGCTCAGATACAGACCATGGAAGAATGTTGCTCACTGGCTTACTTCTCTGGAGGAGGCGCAACCCTGAGTGGTCTGGGCCTTCCCACATCACTCAACCATCAAGCAAATGCCTCACAGAAATACCCACAGGCCAGTCCAAGAAAATAAATTCCAGAAATGAGATTTACCTCTTCTCAGGTGTGTCAAGTTGAAAACTGAATCCAACCACGACATTCTGCCAAAGTTCACCTTGAAAATAAAATTATCTTTATTGCTCATACATCCCAAACAAGTTTAGAGTGGATTAGCCTTTCTAGTTTAATACCCATATGAAACTGGAGTGCAGATGAAAGGATTCTACGTCTGATGGTTCTCAACACAAGAAGAGTTATGTTGGCATGGGTTGTGTGTGGATCCTGGTGCAGACAGTGGTATATGTTGCTAACAGGATGCATGGTACATTGTGTGCAGAAGAGCCTCTGTGCATATTGCTTGTGGGTAAAAGGTCTTAGGTTGACAAATCCCTTATTAGACAGGCTTTTATGTAGAACAAAGTATGCGGAGTCCCAAGCTTGCTCAACTATTCCCTATGTTTACTGACACTTCCCTTGGTGATTCAGCACACAGAAATTGAGGTGACATTATTCTAAATATATTTTATATGCAAATATAACATTTTAAAAAGATTCATAATCCATGTTTAATAAACAAAAGTCACTTAATCAGAGAAAAAATTTTCTTAAATGTTAACATTATGACTAGACTCTCAAAGTAGGCTAACTACTACCCTAGGATCTGTCCTCTTGAGGATCTTAATTTATAGGAGGAAGACTTGAAAATAAAGCTTGCCTCTGTTCATAAAAAGCAGCCCAGCCCTGACCCTGCAGCTGTGACAGAGAAGCCCAGCTCTGGATTTCCATGTGTTCACATTCACTGATCAGCGTCGAACATAGACTCATCATGGGACTGGAACTGAACTGGGTTTTCCTTGTTGCTCTTCTAAAATGTAATGTGTGGAGGACAAGAGATTGATATGAGCGTGGACACAAGTGAGAGGGTCAGTGGGCATGTGACAGTTTCCTGACCAGGATTCTTTGTTTGCAGGTGTCCAGTGTGAGGTGAAGATTGTGAAGTCTAGGGGAGGCTTGGTACAGCCTGGAGGGTCGCTGAGACTCTCTTGTACAGCCTCTGGATTTTCATTCAGTGGTACCTACATGTGCTGGGTTCGACAGGCTCCGGGGAAGGGGCTGGAATGTGTTGCAGAAATTAATCCAAGTGGAGGTGCCATGAACTATGGAACCTCTGTGAAGGGCCAATTCATCATCTCCAGAGACAATTCCATGAACACCCTCTACCTGCAAATGAGCAGCCTGAGGCCTGAGGACACAGTCATCTATTACTGTGGTTGACCCAGTGGTGGAATGTTGCTGTGAGTTCAGACACAAACCTCCCAGCAAAGTTCTTAGCACCAGCAGAGGGTGTTTAGCACGCACAATTCACAGGTTCAGGGAACTTATGAGGAAATTAAAATGTAAGGGAGCACTCCTGCCTGGTTTCCTGGCTGCATCTCCTTCTGATGACTTTTTGGAGTATTTCTCCCCATGTATGGTCTGTAATTTATATGATCTGCTCTCTTGTCATTTTTACAATATTAGACACAATCTCACATGAAGAAATTTTCAAATGTTATGTGTGAGGGAAGAAACGTCCCTGCCTGTGTCACATGGTCAAATGCTGAGGCTGTGTTAGATGTGAGTGGGTCTTTTCCCTTCACACTCAGGGCAGGCCGTGGGTGGGATTTCCTGACTAAGATGAAGTTTGGGAATCAGTGGGAACTAAGGAGATGGAGCCCATCTCAGAGACCCATAATCCTTAACAGGTTTCAAATATCCCCTCTTCCTGAGGACACTACACACTGGGCTCAGTCCTAACACAATGTATTTTTATATAATAAAATGTCTCACTCCATAACTTTCATCATCACTTCTATCTTCTCTTCGTTCACTCAGAAAATGACATTTCTGAACCCTCATTCTAAATCCACTGCTCAGCCCCTCACCTGGAGCTCAAGTGACTAAGGGCATGGCTCCTAAAGGGCCATGGAGACCATGGAGGGACTTGCTCATCCTCATTGGCATGGTCCACCTGCTGTACTGTATGCAAGATTTCTTTGAGGTTGAACAGTGGACATTTAAATCTGGAAATGAGACTGACAAGTCAATTTGCAGCTTGGATGCAGTACTTGCCTGTCTCAGAATACACTTTCATCATGCCATCTGTCATCTGCAGCTTTAGGGCATTGTTTGTGTCTCTGTGAGCAATGTCCTTGTACCTTCAAATGACCACTCACTCAATGAAACTGAATCCTGCTGCAGGAAGGGCCTGCCTCAGGTGGTCCTATGTCTTAAAGGCCACTTGACACCCCCACTGTGACTTTCTTAGCACATTCTACCTCCTTTCTGTAAAGAACAACAACATTAATACTCTAAATTAACATTAGGAAATGGATTAAATATGATGTAAAATACTTCCTCCAAAAATGAAGATTTCCATCACAGGGTACAATGTCATTTCACATAGGGTCTGTTGTTTTCTGCAGGCCCTGCAGATAGAATGGGTCAGACACAGGGTCCAGAGATATGAAGACACCTAATATATTGTGGGACAAAAAGAACACCACTTCAGCGTTTGGGTGACCCCAACATTGGGAATATTTATTTGCTTTGATCATTTATGACATTAAAAAACATTCTTTCTACAATCTGACAATATATTCATGTTTCCAGTTTATTATTGATCAAATTGACAGAAGGATATTGAATATTCAGCATTGCAGCATAATTCTTAATGCACAAATATACTTTAAGCAGGCATGGAGAGAGGCTCAGCAGCTAAGACCACTAGCTGTTCCTCCAAGGAACTGGGTTTGATTCCCAGCACTCACATGGCAGCTATCAACTGCCATTAACTCCAGTTCCAGGGCATCTGACAACCTCTTCTGGTTTCCATAGGTGTACTTACATACATGCAGGCAAAACACACACATAAAATAAAAACAAGTAAATAAGTACTTTGAGGGTATTGCCATAATGAGGCTAACTAATATACTTATCAGCTCAGGAGGTGACATTCATTTGGGGGTGAGGTAGCTTGAGAGCAGATCACATTAAAAACTTCGTACATGCAATACACATTTTTTTGTTGTTTTTGTTGTTGTTTTCTTTTCTTTCTTTTTATCTACAGCCACCATGGGTGAAATTGGGTCTTAAGAACATCATATTATCTGTGAAGAAAACCCTGCTCATTCCTGAGAAGTCCACACAGGTTCTAAGCTGCGGCTTTGAGGATCTCCCTCACTACAGTGGGCTAAGGGTATCCCAGTAGAGCCTGCACGATGGGGCACTTATCATGACACCAAAAAATGAACATATGAAAAATAATGTAGTCCTGAGCAGAATAGAACATGGATAAACCTGTTGACAGTGTCTTGGGAACACAGCAGGTAGACCAGGATTTGTTCATGAAGTCACTTCTACAATGAATACAATGTTCAAGAGTATGTGCTGAAGGTAGTTCAACAGTAGTCAGTTTTGGTTTCCCTTCCCTGAATTCCTTATGAGAGTCCAAATGTGCTGTTTTAGGGTGCGGTCACGTCACTGGGAGAGGGAAGGACCTAAAGATGGTAGTAGGTGGGGTCAGCTGCCAAGAAGGGGCTGCTGCTGGGAAATTCCTGCATTATGTTTATTTACTGTTTGAAATGTTCATAAATACGTATAATACATGCATGTAATCAAATGTACCTCAGTCCCTTTTCTCTCCCCTCCGACTCTTCCCATATTCATCCATCATGTTTTATTCACAATAACATGTATTCTTTTGGGTGGTGCGTGAGAACTGGTTCCCATGGCTGGGCAGGTCCTGAGCCCAGAAGAGAACCTGATACTAGCATTCTGCTACATAGGTATATATTAAACTACCCTCTAAAGTGTCATCTTTGTACCCATAGATTGTTGGAGCTCACAGCCCTCATCAGAGAAGCTTTCTTTTTTTACAGTAGATGGTGACTAACACAAAGACTCACAACTGATCAACTTGCAGAGAATGAGAGTCTATAGGGATAACTCTAAATGCGACATTCATATCACACTTCCTATAACGTACATTTTACTGGTAAATTATCATGGGCTGTTTGAGCTCACTGAAAATCTAGCTCTAGAAGAAGAGAGATTCCCCTCCCCCATTTTGGACCTAAGTAGCCTTGTCTCAAAGGGTCCTCTGAGCCCCTTTACCTGGAAATGGGCTGCTGCTTAACTCTGTGAGACAAGAGAGAACCAAATAGCCTAATGATATAACCACTCTGTCCTCGAGACCAGCTGGAAGGCAAGCCCTTTCCAGAAGATGTTGCTATTGTTCATATATAGTATACAGTGCATGCACTGGGAAACAGAAGCTCAAATTTCAGCTCTGGGAAGCTCAGCCATAGAGAGAAAACTTAATCAAAAACTTCAGTGGACTGTCTAAAATTCCCTAATCAGATCCTTCTGTATTTCCCCAGCACCTGGTATGATGATATTGTCTCATCTCCTATTTGTTCTTTTACTTGCAAGCTTCACATGAGAGAACATGCTACTCTTCACAGGAGTTGTACGATGTGATCTGCAGCTCACTGACTTAAAAGGGCTTCCCCAGTCAATTTCTGCTGGGTGTTTTGAGTCTCCCAATTGATGGTTATTTTTTAGCATTATGTATCACCTATCTATCATCTATCTATCTATTTATCTATCTATCTATCTATCTACCTACCTATATCTATCTATCACCTATCTATCATCTATCTATCTCTCTATCTATCTATCATCTATCTATCATGTATAATCTATCAACTATCATCTGTCTATCTATCTATCATCTATCTACCTATCATCTATCTATCTATCTATCATCTATCTATCATGTATAATCTATCATCTATCTATATCTCTCTATCTATCATCTATCTATCTATCTATCTATCTATCTATATCTATCTATATCTATCTATCTTCTAGATATCATCTATCATCTATCTATCTATCATCTATCTATCCATTTATCTATCATCTAGCTAGCTAGGTGGCTAGTTAGCATCATCATTTATTTATCTATTTATCAATTGTCTATCATTTGTCATTTATTCTTTTACTTTGGTTTCCTGTATAATTAATAAACTCATTTATTCAAAACCAAAAGTATGCTTATTGTAGATCATTCTTGGGACTATACAGAAAACACCTCCTCTAAAATTCAGGTGCGGGTGGAATGATTATGAGAGCCAGATGTAATGGAGGCTGACTGAGAAACAGTGATTTCCAGACATGAAATGTCTGTTACATACATGAACTCACAGTGGCAATGACTGCAAGCACAGACCTTCACAAAAGCAAGCCAGCTAAAATCCCAGTATTCATGGCGTTGGGAGGGGAGGGGGAGGCCCACAATGTCTTACACCTATCTAGGGAGCCACTGGCAATTTTAGCTTCTGGAAGGAGGAGAGTGTCATTTTTCTTTAAGGATGTGGACCGTCAAGCTCCCCATGCTGCAGTGAATGGACCCACATCCATGCACATGCTGTTAACAGTAGTGGTAATATTTGCCAGGCCGGTCCTTATTGTAGACAGAAGGGTTCACAGCTGAGTATTTTTTTTTAAATGTTCTCCTCCAGTAGCACTATGAAAGCTAACCAGTAGTGTTGATGTTTCCAAGTAAGTACCAGCATGTTTATTCTATGCCCTATGTCTCAAGTATGCAGTGGTTTCAACAATAAAGTGAATCATGTATCACCTTGAAGTGCAATCATAAGAGGATGCAATAAGTGCTTGAGATGGCTCAGCATTTAAGATCTCTGTCTGCTATTGTGGAAGATGCAGGTTTAGTTCCTACCACCCACATAATGGCCAAAAACCTTCCAAACTCCAGTTCTAGATGATCTAATGCCCTCTTCTGACCTTGCTAGGCATTGTATGCATGTGGTAGCATTA